AGATTTGTAAAGGTAGATTAAATTAAGAAATTAGAGCTGGTTTTGTCTTCTTAATTCTCTAAGGGATCTTGAAAGGCCAATTGAATTGTACTTCATTTTTCTTATATACAGGGTACATTTTTATCTGTGTATTTGCCTTCTGAGGGGCTGCACTATAAGATTACACAGAGAATAAAAAAGTCATGAATGAACAAACCACATGGAAATTTAGTTTTCCTTCAAACATCCTTTAACTTCCATCTTATTTTATTTTATTATTTTATTATTTTTATTTTTTTATTTTTTAAAGATTTTATTTATTTATTTGAGAGAGAGAGAGTGAGAGAGAGAGAGCGCAAGAGGGGGTAGGGTTAGAGGGAGAAGCAGACTCCCCGCCGAGCAGGGAGCCTGATGTGGGACTCGATCCCGGGACTCCAGGATCATGACCTGAGCCGAAGGCAGTCGCTTAACCAACTGAGCCACCCAGCCACCCTATTTTTTAAAAAGATCTATTTATTTCTTTGAGAGAAAGAGATTGAAAAAAAAAAAAGAGAATGAGTGGGAGGGGCCGAGGGAGAGAGAATCTCAAGCAAAGAGCCCGAAGCGGGACAAGATCCCAGGACCCTGAGATCATGACTTGAGCCGAAACCAACGGTTAGACGCTCAATCAACTGAGCCAGCCACCCAGGCACCCCTAACCTCCATTTTATTTTAACAGTAGAATCTATTTAGTCCTCTTCTGCAGGCAGTTTCCCTTCTCTTTGCAGCTTGGCCTGCTTCTATTCTTGGATATTTGGAAGGCCAATATATTGCAAATTTATTTCCAAATGAAACTTTAAGCTTTGCAAAAGAGAACAGAATTCCATGGAGACCATGAAAAGGATATCAGAAAATATTTAGACCTCATTTGAAGCCATTGGCAAGTAAACAGTAAACAATGGGAAGAGAAAAAGTTAACATAAATGAGGACAGGATAGAGGTTTCAAAAGAGAATGATTTTATTTTATTTTTTTTAAAGATTTCATTTATTTGACAGAGAGAGACACAGCGAGAGAGGGAACACAAGCAGGGGGGGTGGGAGAGGGAGAAGCAGGCTTCCCGCTGAGCAGGGAGCCCGATGTGGGACTCGATCCCAGGACCCTGGGATTATGAGCTGAGCTGAAGGCAGATGGTTAAAGACTGAGCTACCCAGGCACCCTAAGATAATGATTTTAAAAAATCAAAGACTTAAGAGAGATCTTTACAAAAATTGATTAAGCACATGTATATTTGCAAAAATAATCCTCCTTATTTTGTGCACATGTGATATCATGCAATAGTAAATTACACCAAGAAGAAAACAATGTTCTTTGTCTTTTCTAAAAATTGGGCTACGTTTGCAATTGTAAATTAAATTTAGTTCAATATTAGACTACATTTTATCACATTTTTTACAATTTTAGTTTTATTTTTCAAGATAAAGTTCCAATCAAAATCTTTTCCTCTATTTTTATAAATGAAATTGCAGTGCCAATTTAATGCTGATTCATTTTACGTGCCTTTTCTCCCTATATTAAACATATTAATTATCCCCAGATGAGGAAGTAAAATATATTTAGCTGCCCAGATTAGTGAGAAATAATTTATTTGATAATGGTTTTCATTGTCAGTTAATGGAAGATGCTATCTTAAGTAACTCAGAGCTTGCAAGCAATGGGTAAATAGACCTTAATATAATAAGCTCAGGTGTTAGTTTACATGAAATAATCAACCTCATGATAATGGAAATTATCAATTTCTCTCAGGAAAGGATGTGTTCAAAGGAAATTTTGTATTTGATTTTAGATATTTTAAGAGAATACTAAATACAGCACAGAATGGAAAATTCTACTGTCTTTCTACTCTCTTTTCATTCATCCAGGCAACCAGCAGTTAGTTCATCATTTTCTGAGGAAAAAACAAACATCAGGGCACCTGGGTGGCTCAGTTGGTTAAGCGACTGCCTTCGGCTCAGGTCATGATCCTGGAGTCCCTGGATTGAGTCCCGCATCGAGCTCCCTGCTCGGCAGGGAGTCTGCTTCTCCCTCTCCCACTCCCCATTTGTGTTCCCTCTCTCGCTCTGTCTTTCTCTGTCAAATAAATAAATAAAATCTTTTAAAAAAAAAACAAAAAACAAACATCGGACTATGAGACAGAGTCCCACCCCTGTCCTGGGTGGAGATATGCCAGTGCTATTTAATCCTTGTGCTGTGAAAGCAGTTGATGGTGATTGGTTATAAGGTTGTTGCTTCAGGGAGAGGAAGAGAGAGCATAGGGTCACCAGATGGGAGGTTACTAGAATAGGGGGCTGTGGCAGTTCCTGGAGAAGCAGAATAATTCCTACATTGGCTGCACAGCAAGATTATTGTTCTTTAGAACTCCTGGGTAGTTTCAGAATTATTCTTGGGTGTCCCATAAAGTATTGTAGTCTTAAGGGAGAGTATCCAAAAGATGTTCCTTAAAAGAACCCTTTATATAGAGAGATCTTAATGTAAGATCAATGGGAATTTGGAAAGCTATCAGAGGTAGCATTCTATAATGAAACAAATGTGATACTGGGTATCCATACATCCATATTCTAGATCCACTTCTATTTTAAGGAAAAGATCCTGCTTAGATAAAACAAAGTGTGTAAAATACATAAGTGATTTCAAATGATTTTTGGCCACAGAGTTCTTCTCCCTTTTCTTCCCTTCCTCCCTTCCCTTCTCCTACATTCTCTTTCTTAAACTCACTTTCTCTGAAGCTTACAGGAAAGGGCAATATATGAACATATACAAGTGGACAGCTGTAGTTGAAACAGGGGTCCCAGGCCCACAGTCAATTTATCCAGTCTCCACTTACCCCCTTACTGTGTTGGTATCTATGGTTCTCCCACGATTCCCTAAGAGTTAAACTAAAGATAGTTTGAAGCCACTGGACTGTCTTCAGTGTCCTATCAATTTAGAATCCACAATTCTATCAATCAGATTATTGATCATGGCACTGCGTGGTCATATTTCACAGTGTTTGTTCATATCATAGTGCTTGTCTTTCTCTTAGAAATTCCTTCCGGTGGAGGGCCACAGTAGTCATATTTGTACTACATGGATCTTCAGTGTTTGTTCTTATCAATTAAATGAAAAGAAACAACCTAAGAAAGGTCAGTAAGGTTTAACTCCTAGGAATGAGTTACATGGATCAAAGACGTTACTTTAATCTGGACTGGTCAATTGATGGAGATATAAAATAATCTATGTTGTGGATATTTTAGACCATGGGAAATTCCAAAAGCTGGAGAGAAAGAAGAAGGAAGAGGGAGAAAAGGAGAGAGAGAGAGAAATAGAGAAGGAGAGAGAGAGGGAAGGACAGAAGGAAAGAGGTAGAGGAAGAATGAGAGAAGGAGAAGGAAAGGGAGAGACAGAGAGGAGAATAATATGCAAATTCAAAGACAGGTGAAATTTTAGTACTAATTAATTTCCTAATAATTTTTGAGTTCCTTGTTCCATTTCCTTATAAGTCTTGAGTGTTTAGGATTCTGTGATATTTTCTTATATGTTTCAAACAGATACACACACATATATATATAGATATTTCTTCTTATTCAAATAAATTTATTTTACTTGAAACCAAGGGAACTGTGATGGCTTAAATACAGGCTTAAATGAGAGACAAGAGCCCACAGGAATTAGTCTAAAGCATTTGTTATATTTTAGTATATATAAATAATCTTTAAAATTGCTTATCTTTTGATTTATATATATTATACTTAAATGAATGAACAGAGAATACAAATAATTTTGCACAGATAATTTCACATAGCATTATTTATAACATCAAAAATGGCAACAAGTTAAACACCCAATAGTAGACTAATAGTTAATAAAGAATGGCATGGTCACGTAATGAGCAATTGTGTAGTCATTTCAAATGTTTTTTTAGGAATGCTTAATATAGGCTGTCACATTATACAACTCCAGGAGGTGTGGCATAGTCTAGGTAAATGATGTCCTTTAGACTTATGCAGTGTCCAGCCTATACTTGAATATACAATACATGACATATTAATGATATATTAAACATTAAGCCAGGGTTGACATTATGTTACTGTTAAATTAAAAAAAAAAAGTAGCACTCACACAAAATTATGTCTTTGGTATAATCCTAAAAATGCCATTTATAGATTATGGAGATGTATGTCAAATTATAATAAATTATCTCTGGATGTTGGAATTATGAATGATTTAAAGCAATCTTCGGCAGTTTCTTTTTTTTTTTCTATAATGAGCTCACATTGTTGGAATCTGAAAAAAATGATAATTATAATTTTTATGCTACTATCTATTAGTCTGTTAAACTAAACATCAGACATTGGGTTTATAAACAACAAAATCTATTATATCCTACACCTAATGTACTCAGGTATCACCTTCATGGCAATTCTGTGGCTATGTTTCACATTAACACTCAACTATTAATTTCTCTTTTATTATTCAATACTATCTGAGATATCTGCTTTATTTATGGATTGCCAGACTGGATACTATTCTCTAATAAAGATCTAACCAGACTTGAATATACTGAGAAACAACTTCACATTTACTACAGTCAATGATTCTGTTGACAACATATAATTCTTATTTTGCTAATTCCTAAGCTATACAAAAGACAGAATTCTCCAGGGTATTCCAAATCAATAATAAGCTTTGATTTTTCCACACTGTAAAGGGATTTAACTTCTAGATGTACTGATTTACCCATTTGCAAACTGATGATATACAAGTCTGCCTAAATGGCCTCTGGGGATATGATAAAGATTGGTGTCATTCAGACTAATAGAAAATATTAGACTCAACTGTGGCATAAACAGGTAAACAAATCTGTGAGATGCTTTAACACCCTTACAGAAAGGGGCATATTAAAGAGGTCTGGGGACAATTGGTTAAATATTGACAATAGAAAAATCCCATTATGGGGAAAAACTGACTTAAATCACACACTGAATACATGTATCTTCTACTTAGCACAATGTAATTTCTCAGTGAGTTTCAAAGAAGGACAACAAGCAACTTTTGTATGAGAACCTGAACTGTGTGGGGCCAGCCATTCAATTAGAACCTAATGCTAACAAGCAAGTGGTCACAACTTGGGTCCATACCCAAGCACCATGACAATATCAAAGGTATGTATTCCTATTGTTAATCTGCTCTTACTTCTTGAAGATGAATGCTACTAGCGAAAGAAATAATAACCATGTATTGTTGAGCTCCTACATGCCCACTCATGGTTTTAGTGTTTTACATGTATTATTTCTAATCCCTAGAAAACTCTTTAAGTGGATTTTCTTATCTCCAATATACAGAAGAGGAAACAGAAGCACATAGATTTTAAATAATTTGCACAGTGTCATTCAGTTCGTTGGGGTTGACTCAGTATTCAAACTCAAGGGTTTGAAACACAAATTGTTTTCTTTGTACTTTGATGCTTCCTTCCTGTTACTGAGATTATAAGAGTTGAGACTCACAGTATAAATGAAATTAATCAGTGTCTTATCTAGAGAATAACTCATAGATGGTCAATAGCTTTATCTCTGTTTGTAGGCAATATTTTATAGTATATTATGCTATATAATACTGTTTTCCAATAACTTCAAAGGTTTATCATTTCTCAAGTGGTTTATATTAGTTATCTATTGTCAAATAACAAGTTACTCTAAAACATAGCAGCTTAAAATAACAAACATTTATATTCTCATAATGTCAGTGCATCAGAAATCCAAGCATGGCTTAGGTGGCTACCTCTGGCTCAAAGTCCTTCATGACACTGCCCCAAGCTGTCAGCTTGAGGTTGTGGTCTTATCTGAAGGCCTAATTGGCTTGGGGAATGAGGGGAAGATTTCAGTCTCACTCATGTGGTCCCCTCACCAGGTGGGCCTCATGTCATGTTGCTGACTCCACCCAGGCTGTGATCCAAGGAGAGCAAGACAAAGCACCAAAGGCCAAAAATGAAATCTTTTATAACTTAGTCTAAGAAATGAGATCCCATCTCTTCTGCTGTCTTCTCTTCATTAAAAGTGAATCAGTAAGGGGCGCCTGGGTGGCTCAGTCATTAAGCGTCTGCCTTCGGCTCAGGTCATGATCCCAGGGTCCTGGGATCGAGCCCCGCGTCGGGCTCCCTGCTCTGTGGGAAGCCTGCTTCTCCCTCTCCCACTACCCCTGCTTGTGTTCCCTCTCTTGCTGTCTCTCTCTCTCTGTCAAATAAAATCTTAAAAAAAAAAAAAAGTGAATCAGTAAGTATAGCTTATACTTAAGGGGAGGAGGTTGCATCTTATACCAGAAGATGAGGAGCACTGGGGACTATATTAAAAACTGCCTATAACATGATCTAAGAGTATTGCTCTGACAAAAGAAGATTATAATATATACTTACAAGTTTTCTACAACTCCAGAATTGTTGTAGTCAGGACTCTAATATCAATAACAGAAAGCCAACTTAATCTGGCTTAAATAAATATAGGAAATTTATTGACTCAGGTAACTCAAAAGTCTATGTATGGGTCCAGCTCTGACAGACTGCATTGAGTGTTTGAATAATAGGAGTATCTGTCTGTCTCACCTGTCTCTGGCCTTACTTTCTTCTGAGTGTCTTTATTTTCTGGCAGGCTTCACATTGTGTAAAGATTTATTCTGGTGACCTTGGGGGAACATGATCTATAGTGGCCAATATCTTTTTGTAGAGGCCCAACAAAGTTTTTCTTTGGGTTCCATGCTCATTTCTGAATAGAAGGATAAAGTTCTCTGAAAAATTAGGCATGTGCCATCCTGGGGTTGTGTTACCCCTGTATGAATCATATGAACAAAGTGTTGTAGGGGAATTTGGTTCTAAAAAGGAAAAGGTTATAAGAATAAGGGGTCATATTATGGGAAGACAAAAATTTTAAAAATATTTAAAGAAAAAAAATCACAATGTTAAAGACTGAATTGTGAGCCCCCCAAAATTTATATGTTGAAACCCCAACACCCAAACGACTGCATTTGAAGATAGGGCCTTTCTATTTATTTATTTATTTGTTTGTTTGTTTGTTTGTTTGTTTATTTATTTTTAAAGATTTTATTTATTTATTTGACAGAGAGAGACACAGTGAGAGAGGGAACACAAGCAGGGGGAGTGGGAGAGGGAGAAGCAGGCTCCCTGCAGAGCAGGGAACCCGATGCGGGACTCAATCCCAGGACCCTGGGATCATGACCTGAGCTGAAGGCAGTCGCTTAACCAACTGAGCCACCCAGGCGCCCGAAGATAGGGCCTTTCTGGAGGTAATGTTAAAGATTTACTTATTATTTTTGTGGGGGAGGGAAAAATGGAAAGAGAGGGACAGTCTTAAGCAGACTCCACACAAAGCCTGATGTGGGGCTGATCACATGGCCCTAAGTTCACGACCCTGAGATCACAACCTGAGCAGAAACCAAGAGTTGGATGCTCAACCAACTATGCCACCCAGGTGTCCCAGAGGTAATTAAAGTTAAATGAGGTCATAAGGGTAGAGCTCGAATCCCCTTACTATCTACGTAAGATCTTGAAGTTGTCAGTATTTTATTTGTTTCCTGGGGCTCCCATAACAACAAACTGGGTGACTTAAAACAACAAAAATTTATTCTCTTACAGTTCAGGAGGCCAGAAGTCTGAAGTCAAAGTGTTGGCATTGTTGGTACCTTCTAGAGCACTACTCACATATAGGTAATTACAAACAACCTGTTAAATTGGACTGAATAGTGACTATAGGAAAGTCCTAAAGGGAAAGGAAAGATTTTTGTTCAATAAAATTTTCTATATATATAAAATTTTCAAATGTAAGCCTCAAAGATTCCTTAACTTGGTGTAATTTATAATATCAGAAAACAAATCTTCATTAACTTCATTGAATTTTTATAAAACCTATCACATAAGGATAAAAAAAGTTTTTAAAAATTATAACTAAGTATATTAGTTTTCTAGGGCTACTGTAACAAATTACCATAAAGTAGGTGGCTTAAGACAGTGGAAATTTATTTTTTCATGGTTTTGGAGTCTTGAAGTCTGAAATTCAAGTGTCAGCAGTTCTGTGTTCTCCCTGAAGGCTCTAGGGGAGAGTTTTTCTTTGCCTCTTCCTAGCTGCTAGGGCTTGCTGGTGATTCGTGGCTTGTAGATGCACCTGTCTGTGCCTTTGTTATCACACCTTCTCTCTATGTGTCAGTATCTAAATTTCCCTCATCTTATAGGGACACCAGTCACTGGATTTAGGATCCACCCTAATCCAGCATTAGCTCATTTTAACTTGATTAATCTGCAAACACCCTATTTCCCAATAAGGTCACAGGCACCGGTACTGAGGTAGGACTTCAATGTATCTTATTGGGGAATACAATTCCACCCACAACACTAGGTTTTAGGATACTTTAAATAAATTGCATTAAAAATGGAAAGAACTTTAGCTCCCTTTATTTCATTTTATGGGTTTCTATGAATAAACAAGAGTAATTTATAAGAGGAAGGTTAAAAAAAATCATAATTTGGTTAGGACTCCCACTGTACTAATCTAGTATTTCATGAATAAATCTCACATTATAATCGGTTTCTAATTAAAAATGTGCTGTCTACATACACTGTTAAAACTTACAACTGAGGGTTCTAGAGCGGAGGGGGTGGGGGGGATGGGTTAGCCTGGTGATGGGTATTAAGGAGGGCACGTACTGCATGGAGCACTGGGTGTTATACGAAAACAATGAATCATGGATCACTACATCAAAAACTAATGATGTACTGTATGGTGACTAACATAACATAATAAAATAAAATTTAAAAAAAGCCATTGCAAAAGTATAATCTGGTATTCATTAATCTGTTTCAGAATTTTGATGTGAAATAAAACTTATTTGTAGAAAGTCCCCCACATCCTAGAAAAAAAAAAAAAACCCAAAAATGTATTTTTCACTTTCAAATTCATAATTACCAAACGATCTTTTCTTCAGCTAATGCACAGTCTGTAACTTTGGGTTAGGAGTTACATGCTTAATATCACTCCACTATGCTGAAGAAATCTGTTTAAACAAATCACAAAGCTGTGACACAGGACAGAACACCGAGGCAAAGACATTTTTAGCTTCTTCTATTTAAAGTCATCCTGGTATTTACAGATGCAGGCAAACTACAGGTTGCTTCAGGTGTTTAGATCATCATTCTTCCACAAACCTTCCAAATCATATTCTAGATAAGAGTTCTGAAATCCCAGCATTCACAGTGACATTGCCCCTGCCTATGGAATTCTCAGCCTGCCCTGATTTGGCAGCTGTTCTAGAATTAAGGATTCATGTTTTGTTATTTTCCCTTCAGCAGTTTCTGATAATATTTCTCCCAACTCCAGAAATTGGGGGTTAAATTTTCAACATGTTAAATTAAGATATTTTTTTTCACTTAAATTACCCAGAGAAAATTTTACATTTCTTTTTTTGTATAAAAATGGAACAAGTAGATATTACATAATGGAATGATTATTGTCTTTCTTATATTCTCTTATTTCCCCACTCTCTTAGCCTGAGTACTCTAGAAAACAGTCTGCACCAGAATGTAAACACTAATGCTCTTTGGTAGGGATGAAATAGTATGTGCAAGGGCAATGAGAGTGAAGGGAAAAGGAAAATGAGGCAGGAAGGAGGACCAGAAATGAAATCAGCTGTCTGTGATTTCACAAGAAAATGCACTCAGTTATTGAATCACATGGGATATCTCTGGGCAAGCTTCATGAAATCACTCCATCTGGGAGCTATCTCTTAGGTGGGCATGGGGTTCAGGTAGAAGAGTAACTCCTCTGACGGTTCTACTGTTTCTTGCTAGTCAGATCAAATCCAGGGGCTACGAAATCCCCACACTCCTGGGTTTTGTATGACCTACCTCTTCTACACAGCCGACAGAGAAGCCACAACCTTTGCAGCTTTGACCTGGCTTGTGGTTTGGAGACAGTGGTCTCTAGCAGTTGGGGGTTTCTAGATCTCTACTGATCATGGTAGTAGTTGGATTTTATCATCCTCAAAATTGTGTGAGTCAAAGCTAGGGATGCTCAGGCCAAGAGCAAAGTCAGGAGATTGAGGTTTGGAGAGTTCAAGTCAGAGGAGCCTATTGGGCAGTACATAACTGGGTCTGATGACCCAGCACAGATATGAATATTCTGACCTGTGAAAGCATTGCTAATTTTTACACCTGGGTTGATCTTTAAAGATCATTTATTCCAAATGTGACTTTAAAAATATGAGGAGCTATTTCCATTTTCAGTTACAATGGAGTAATAAAGACTGGATTTACCTTCCTGTTTGAAACAATTCCCCCCCAAAAAGCGAAGTATTTAAAACAACAGTTTTCAAGACACTAGATGTCAGATGATGAAGGAGAGTGAGACCTGAGAAATAAGAAACAAAAAGGTGAGCCTAATGAATGCTGCCCCTTACTTCTGTAAGAGTTTCTAGGCCAAGAAAGAGAGATTCAGTAGGAGCACAGTATATGGAGGAGATGGAACTGTAAGTGTGTGTAGACTGAGGTAGCTAGACTTTGCAGTGAAGAGTATCAGGAAGAAGACAGCAACAGAGAGAGAGAGAGAAAGAGAGAGAGAGAGAAAGCTCCAGAAACCTGGCAAAGACACCCCTTGAGTATGCAGTTGGATACTAACACATGCATACAAGGAGACTACCTCAGGCTGAGGAAAGAACCACCTGATAGTATTAGAAGTAACAGTGCCTAGCATTCACTCAGGATTTGGAGTAATGCTGTTACCAAATTCTAAATATAAAAACTTTGATGTGTGAGATGAAAAATACTGTGAATGAAATTAAGCAAGTTAGGAAATATTAAAAAGGAAATATTTTAGAATGGCTAAGATTGAAAAGATTGAGCATACCAAATGTTGACAATGAAGTGGAGAAATTGGAAATCTCATAAATCTCATGCTTGTGGGAATGTAAAATAATATAACTACTTTGAGGGTTTAACAGTTTCTCATGAGATAACATACACCTATAATATAATCCAGTCATTCCACTCCTTAGCATTTTCCCAAGGAAAATGAAAGCCTGTGTCCCTACAAAGAATCATACACAAGCTCACATAACTGCTTTCTTTATAATATCCCAAACTAGAAATGACCAAAATGTCTATCAACAGGTGAACGGATTAGCAAACTGTGATATGTCCATATAATAGATACTTGTCAGCAATAAAAAGGAATGAATTTTGATAAATGCTACAAAATGGATGAATCTCAACATCATTATGCTAAGCAATAGAATCGAGATAAGAAAGCATACATACTGTATTATTGCACCTATGTAAAATTCTAGAACATAAAAACTAATGTATAGTGACAAAATATATCAGTGGTTGCTGGGAGATGGAAAAGGGACAGAGAAAGTTGAGTGGGAATGACTGCAAGGACCCTTTGAGGATTATGGATATACTCATTATCTTGATTGTGTTAATGGTTCGTGGTGTGCACATATGTGAAAACGAATCAAATTGTACACTTTAAATATGTGCAGCATATTGTATATTGTTAAAAAAAAAAAAAAGAACCTGGAGAAAAAAAAGTCTCACAGAGAGTTATAGGTAGAACAGATAAAGTCATTTCCTTTTTTCTTTCTTTTAACACTTTTTTAAAAATTTTATTTTATTATGTTATGTTAATCACCATACATTACATCATTAGTTTTTGATGAAGTGTTCCATGAGTTATTGTTTGCGTATAACACCCAGTGCTCCATTCAGTACGTGCCCTCTTTAATACCCATCACCAGGCTAACCCATCCCCCCCCATCACCAGGCTAACGCATCCCCCCTCCCCTCTAGAACCCTCAGTTTGTTTCTCAGACTAGGGGGTATTATGCTAAGCGAAATAAGTCATTTCCTTTTTTCTATAATGCATTTCCTTTATTCTTAAAAGTATTTGAAAATAGTATTGATTATTAGATATAGTGTTATGTGTAAGTGCAATCTATAATAATTTGCAGTTCTGTCTTACCTCTTCCAAAATCAAAGAAGCACAACTGCAACTGTTACTCATGTGGACCTTGAAAGGCTTGGAGTCCAGATACTGAGAACCACCATAGCCATGGTTACATTATTGCTTACTGGGGACTCCCTAACAACAAAAAATGTGGGATGACAATTCATTAAATAGTCTATTTACAGTAATCTTCACTTCACTCAGTGTTTGGAGTTTCTCACATTTTACCTTGCCTTAGAATCACCCGCAGGCTTGTTAAACACAGATTGCTGGGCCCCATTCCCAGTTTCTGACTGAGTAGGTCTGGTATGAAGCCAAAAAATTTACATCTCTCCCAAATTTACAGATGATGCTGATGCTGTTGCTTGAGTGACCACACTTTGAGAACCACCAAGATAAAGGCCCTAGACTGAAAGAAAAAGAAGTCCTTCATACAGTTGAATTTAATTATTGATTTAGGTTTAGATTTAAATATGTCCAGGTAGCAGAGAGCAAGCTAGCATCTGAGCATCCCAGTGGGAATACCCTTCCTGTTTCCTGGATATATTCAGCTCAAAGCAAACCTGCTTTTGTAGGTGTAGGAGTCACAACTCTGTCTACTTTTCAAATTTAAAATGTTAAATGATAGTCAAAGATAGCACAATTCACAGTTGAATCCTTGAGGAACCAATGAGATCATTGTTCACTTACAAGTTCAAAAAGGTATTTAAGTGCCTACTCTGTGTTAGGCACTGGGGATTCAGTGGTGAGCAAGTCAGGCAAGGTCTTTACCTCTTGGAGATTTCTGTCTATTGGGAAAATTGTCATTATACCAATAAACATCCAAATAATAAAGCACAATTATGACAAGTATACAGAAAGAGAGCTATAAATATCGATCAGTACAAGGATAATGTTCATATTCATGAAGAAAATGCATATAATTCTATTACTTGATTGGATCCATATGTGCCTTCAATTCCAATGATAATTTCTGATATAATTTGCACCAGACAATTCTAATAGACAATTTTAATGAGTATGGCACTCTGTTTCCCATTTACACTTTCATTGTTTTTGGTTTTATCTCTGAATTTGTGTCTTCTTTCTCTTGTGAGTTGATTTAATTTCTACCTTTTATTACTTTTCTATTTTTAGAAGTCACGGTGTCAGTCTATTCAATGTTTTTCTTTGATTTCATCTCAACAAAAATAAACTTCTGTTTAATATATTACTGTACATTTTGAAAAGAATCAGATTTTCTTTCTTTTTAATCTTTTTAAAAAATTTATTTATTTGTCAGAGAGAGAGAGAGAGTGGGGGCACAAACGGGGAGTGGCAGGCAGAGGGATAAGCAGGCTCCCTGCTCAGCAAGGAGACCAATGAGCAACTCAATCCCAGGACCCTGGGATCATGACCTGAGCTGAAGTCAGACGTTTAACCCACTGAGCCACCCAGGCATCCCAAGAATCAGATTTTCTGAGCTTCACTAAATTACCACTTCTTTTGCAAGACAAATGCTTCACAGGAGACTTTATTAATATGTGTTCGATAAATACATTTCTTCCATTTCCCAGATCTTTTCCTTTATTCTTTCATGCATAGTAAACTTGTGAAATTCATGAATGATAAATCTCATAATTGTCTTGAAACTTCAAATTTATATATACCACAATGTTTGCACAGGCTCCTGGCTTTCACCTAAAAGCCAATATGGTTCCTCTTCTTATTATCTCACCTTTTTTTTTAAGATTTTATTTATTTATTTATTTATTTATTTATTTATTTATTTATTTATTTGAGAGGAGAGAAAGAGTGAGTGGGAGGGAGAGGGAGAGAGAATTTGAAGTAGACTTGGTGCTGAGCGCAAAGCCTGACACAAGGCTGAATCTCACAACTGGAAGATTATGACCTGAGTTGAAACTGAGTCGGACACTTAACCAACTGAGCTACCCAGATGCCCCTCATCTTACCTTTTTAACTTATATGAAAAGTTGTCATGCAATGCAATGTTCACACTGAAAGGAAATTTTTAATCTTGTGTGAGGGTTACTGTGTAAGTGATGATGAGCAGAAAAAAATCAAAATAAAAAAGTGAACAGTTGACTAAATTGGTGCTTTCTCCTTTTTTCAGGTCTCAGGACATATCGAAATTTACAGCCTCAGAGTTGAGAGGGCCAAACTCTCAGGGCTCATAGCTGTGACAAAACATTGCCTGGGATGTTCAAGGCTAGGCTCCATTACCAGCTGAGTGACTCACCAGCTCATGCACAATACATAAGATTCAAATTTGTGACCAAGCAAAACTTCAAATAGCTCCAAATTATGAATGCTAGGTTGCTTGGGAATTGTTCATTCTGTCTTTCAGCATTTGCAAAATATTTATTCAACAAATTAAAAGATCAGGGCTAATAATGAATATCAAGCCTCTATACTTCTTGTTCTATAATTCTGCCAGGTTGTATAAAATCATGCACCTCAAGATCCTATGACATTATTTACAACTTGTTCCTTATCTCTCTGATATATACCCCACCATTTTAGAACCTTTTTCATCTACTTATGCATTTTTGAAATTTACAATGATGTAAGCACTTTGCCTACCTTCTGATAAGTAAGAGAGGCTGTACTCACTTAAGCCTATAGTTTGGCTGGGTAGAAAGAAACACAAAGAGACCATTATGATAAAATGTGAATAGTTCTGTATCACAGAGAAGCCCAGAAAAAGCAAAGGACAAAGAAAGACACATCCAGTTTTCCTCTTACTGTGATGTTCGATCCAGTAACTTTTCCCGTTAGTTTTCCTCTCATTCTGAACATGGCTCATGAAATAACATCCTGAATATGTCCAGAGTCAGCGAGTATCACCCAGCATCTATGCTTTAGTCCCACTGCAGCTTTCACTAGAGCAGATCTGCCACTTGCCTGTTCTAGTTTAAGTTATTATGGCTTCTATCAGGACATCCATGTGAAAATAGATGTGATGGACTTGAAATAGAATTTAGTAATGGGAAAAATGTCTGTTTTAGGCTAAAATTTCGTATCAAATAAATAGTTGCTAGGTGACTACACAATGTGATTCATATTCTGCAGCTGATATCACTGTAAAAAATTAAAAGTTAGGTTTTCTTTAAAGTATTTTCTCATATTCTCTAATGATGCTAGGCTGGGGACTTCTAATACTATAGGACAAACTTAAATCAAAACACATTGGCCATTAAACTCTGATTTCAGTAGGGAGTAACTGATATCTGAAGTCCCTGCTGAAGACACAGGAGGGTTTGATGATCTTAGATTTGAGGTAGATTTTCCCACAACTTTCATTGTCTCAACTTACTCCAAGAAGAAAAAAAAAAAACAACAAAAACCTGTATTAAATGAAAACCCAAAGAATTATTAGAATTGTATGGTTCCAAATAGGGTAAGAGAGTAATATAAGTAATGGGAACATATATCAGTAGAAACTTACTTTCTTTTTTCTTTTTAAAAATTTTTTAAAGATTTTATTTATTTGCCAGAGAGAAAGAGAGAGAGAGAACACAAGCAGGGGGAGTGGCAGGCAGAGGGAGAAGCAGGCTCCCCGCTGAGCAGGGAGCCTGGTGCTGGGACTCGAGCCCAGTACCCTGGGATCGTGACCTGAGCCGAAGGCAGATGGTCAACTGACTGAGCCACAGAGGCATCCCTTACTTTCTCTTTTCTACCAGATAGTGTGCCCCTGTAGGTGGAAACTATCATTTCTTTTTGGGGTGGCAACCCTTAATTCTCTGTTCTACTTGGTAGGCACCCAATAAACATTTGGCAATGATTATAAAAATAATGAAGATGAAGTTATTTTAATTTTAAATTAAGCTAAATTCTGGGAAGATTTTGTAATAAAAATAAATTTTTCTTCCTGTTCTATTCTTTGTTCTTCAGGACAGTTCATGAGTATGTCTTGCCTATTCAGAATGACACTATGCATTATTCTCAAAAGGCATGAATTTTTTCAGTCTCTTGAGTCATATTGATTTGGAATAAACATGTCCTTAAAATTCTGATTTAATGTTCTCAGAAAATTTTGCCCATTATGGAAGTCACTTTCATATGTTCCTGTGAGAGGACAGAGATTTGAATTTCTACTTGATTTCTTGCTTCTATTCAATTTCCTATCCAAGACGTCAAATTCATCTCTCACTTGTGACTTTCATAGGAAGATATGATGGCTCCAATGGCAGAAGGGAAAGGACTATATTTATAATTGTCAGTATTTTTATAGCAACAAGCTGCTGGATCAACAAAAGACAATACAGATTGAGCCATTTGTATTTTTACAGCTATAATTTAATTTTACTTAGGAGCAATATATAAATTTTCTTTTGTGTTTATTTAGCTATCTGTGACTTGGGGCCCCTTTGTTGCCTTCGAATTGTCAGTTATTTTAATACTGTTTTTATCTCTTTTTTTTCCTCATGAAAGCAGAATTTTTTTTTTAAAGTGTAATGACTATAAAAGAAAATGACACTGTATGAAAGGTATTGTTAAAATGAAGTGCTAAATGTCAAGATTCTTAACGCAGAGGAGAAAATTTACATTAGATTCTAATTATACTTTAGCAGCAAATTAAAAAATACAAAGAGAATCTAAAATTGGAATAAATATACAAGTGAATCAAAATTGCTTTTAAAATGCCTTTTCTTTACCAGATGATCAAAGTACCGATTTTTCTTCTGTATGAAATGTCACATGTTCTAAACAGTTTTCCTGATTGGTTGAAAATGAAATTGAAAATTCTGTGTGTTTTTTTCACATCTACCTCAGTCATATATCTCTTCATTTTGCATTTTATTGTTTCTCATATTCTCTCTTTTAATAATCAGTTCCTTATCCATTTAGATGCATATATCCTGTGACAGTCTTTGAAGAATATATATACATTATTGTAGTAGATTGAGCTATTACAGTAGGTAATCACCCACTCTGCTTCACTATTTTCCTTAAGAGTTCATAAAAGCAAAAAGAAGACAGATATTCTTATTGATCAAAAATTACAGTAATAATTCATCAATAGAAGATGAGTAAAGGTGAAATGATATAATTTTTATTAATCTTTCCATTTCCTTTTATTTCTTTCTTTTTTAAATTTAAATTCAATTGGCCAACATATAGTACATCATTAGTTTCAGATGTAGAGTTCAATAATTCATCAGTTGTGTATGTATAACACCCAGTGCTCATCATATCACATACCCTCCTTAATGCCCATCACCCAATTACCCCATACCCCCCCACCTCCCCTCCAGCAACCCTTAGTTTGTTTCCTATAATTAAGAGTTTCTCATGGTTTGTCTCCTTCTCTGAGGACTTCCCATTCAGTTTTCCCTCCCTTCCCCTACGATCCTCTGTGCTGTTTATTTCACATATGAGTGAAATTATTTAATTGTCTTTCTCTGATTGACTTATTTCACTCAGCATAATACCCTCCAGTTCCATCCATGTCGATGTAAATGGTATTTTAATCTTTCCATTTCAAAGCAAGTTTGACTAAATTCATAGTCATACTGAAAATAAAATCTGTTTTGTTTTATTATTTTTAGCTGCTAATTAATAAACAGTGGAATTTAAAAATAATAGTGGACTATAAGTTAAAGATTGAGCCACATTCCTGACTTTGTATATGACCATGAAAAAGTCAACTCTCTGTTATGAGGAAACAATAAGCCTCTAGAATATTCTGAAGCTTAAAAATAATCCCTCCAATAGTTTTTTTTTTTAAGTCAAAAGAATATAAAATTGATATGCTGCTAGACATAATGCCTTATCTCAAACTACTACATAGTTAGTGACATGTTTAATTAAGCTATGTTTAATTGGAATTTGATTGTTACCATGAAGATGAGCATTATTTTTTTCATGTGTCACTAAGACCATATGTTTTCCAATATACTCTTTACAGACTCACCTTAACAGTTACCACATGAGAACAAAGAACAAAGAAATTTCATTTCTGTATTTCTCCATTTAGAATTACTTAGAAGAAAGGTCAATAACCACATCAAAATACAGTTCTTTGAGATAAGTACCTTAGCATTGTCAGCACAACATGAAATATTTAAAATATCTGCAACAGGAACTACAATGGGCATTTCGTTCTTAAATTAAGCCACACAATACCAGATATGCCATTTCAATCAATTTCATTGGATTGCATAGCAGTAAAGCATTAAATATACCACTGGGTAACATTGTGAAACTATATTCTCATATCTAAGTTAAAATAATGCAAGGACATACATAACTTGTACTCCTAAAATTCTAGTAAAGAATTTATCTTGTTTTATATTCTTCACCCATAGTTCTTTTATGTCTTTGAATGGGTTTTCTTGTAATCTGTGTTTCATAATTACTCATTTTGTAATGTATGTCATTTTTGAGATTCCACTGTATGCATATGCATTCCCTATCCCACTGCCCCACTGTCTCTCCTGGTATAGTATGCACACTACATTAGCAGAAACAAATATTCCTTCCTTTGGATCTTCAACACTCTGGACATTTTAAAAAAAGGATTTATCTTCTATAAGACAAGTCATCTGCTAAAATATACAGATATAAATAATCTATTTGTAGACAGTCTAATTATATCAGTCCAAATAGAAACAGAATTCCTTCATATTTGGACTCGTTCATTGGCAAATATATGTAAGAAGCTGGCCAAAATATAATTTAATCCCACTGGGATAGCTATTTAAGGAAAACAAAACAAAAATGCTTAGCTTGAACCAATTTTCTTCTATACTCCTCTCTGGGCACATAAATAATAAAAATAACTTATCCCACAGGGATAAATCCATGTCCCCTCACCAACTTTTTCTTCCTCTTTGATTAGGGACAAAACAACTAAGTAGCATAGTTTTCATATAAATTTGCAGTATTTCTAAAATGTTACATAAGAAAATTTTCACTAGTATATTAAGAAAAATTCCAACGTGGTACCACATAATCCACATAATAAAAAGTCAGGCCCAGAGGGAAAACAAAAGGTAAAAAAAAATTGGTTCTAAAAAATCTTCCAACTCTAATGGAATAGCTGGTATTACACAAGTTCTCCAGTCAAAAGCTACAATAAAATCTCAGTTTAGGTTTTTTTAGATTATTTAGGCATTAGAAAGAAATTAAGGCCACCAGGATTAGAGGTACAGATAAAAAAGAGAAGGAAAACACACCGAAGGGAGCTATACTTGTTCAGCTTATTTTTCCCAGTGGAGCATTTGCTACCATTTGCCATTTCATATTGTGAGGTTCAGAGTTTAAGCAGAAAGTGTCTGCCTAGAATATTTGTCAAACATGGGATGAAAAGGTAAAAATATAATGGCTATCAAGGTAGGTCAGACCCAAAGGAACAAGATCTAGAGAAAATGAATTTGTAAAGAAGTGAGGGCAACATTCTTTTCCTTGAGGCATCTGTCAAGCATGAATCTTCCAAGGTGTAAGAGACTGAAGAACTAAGAAGAAAGCAAGCGAAAAGGTAAAGAAAACTTTTAGCAGTCTCACAACACCAGAAGAACACAAATTGGAAATTAGAATTTGCTGAGGAAGAGGGGCAATGGTAACACTCAAAATTTTCAGGAATATGGGAAAATGTTACAGCTCTTACAAAGCTTGAAACCTATTCTCAAACTTTATCAGTCCCTGCTTAGACTAATGAAATCTGCCCTTACACTAACTACTCACTAGAATAATTAAATATTCTTTGAGGAAGATAATGTCATATAGAGCTTCTTATCTTGGTAGTCTTTTATATACAATGTTTAGAATTAAAAAAAATCTACAAGAGAAGAGCACCAAATGATCAAAAAACAAGAGAAGGAATAAATGCTAGAAACAGACCCACAGATGATCTAAATAGTGAAGTGATAAAACAGAAACTTAAAAATAATTGTAATTAATATGTTCAATAAAATAGATGACAAGATAGTTTCAGAAAATATGGGAATATATATAAAATAATCAAATGGTAGTTCCAGAACTGAAGGGTACAATAACTGAAATTTAGTACTCAGTGGGATAAATTACCAGATTAGATATAAAAAAAAAAACAACAAAGTAGGTCAGTAGAAAATAACCAGACTGAAAAACAAAGAGAAAATGCATGTGTAGAAGAGAAAGAGAGAAGAGGGAACATGGGACTGAAGCAGTAGTTGAAACATTGGCAAAACATTTTCCAAAGCTGTAGAAAGATATCAAGATACAGTTTTACAAAGAACTACTGCTCTCCAATATTATAAATACCCAAAATATCACATCTAGGCACACCTTAGTAAAACTGATGAAAAATAAAAGGAAGAGAAAATCTTAGAAACAACCAGAATAAAGAATAAAATCCCATGTTATTTGACTTTTCAGACTAGCAGTAAAGGACTCTCATTTTTTTTCATTTTCTTTCCTTAGAGTGATCTGCTTCTCTAACAATTCATCTTAAAATCCCTTATCTGAGAAACTTGTAAAAAATATAAACGTAAATAACTGAGTGGGAAGTCATCAGAGAGGGAGACAAACCATGAGAAGCTTTAACTATAGGAAACAAATTGAGGGTTGCTGGAGGGTAGGTGGGTGGGGGAATGGGGTAATTGGGTGATGGGCATTAAGGAGGGCATGTGAAGTGATGAGCACTGGGTGTTATACATATCAACTGATGAATTATTGAAACTATATCTGAAACTAATGATGTACTATATGTTGGCTAATTGAATTTAAATAAAAAATGTCTATGGCTGGGTAATTTGAATGACAAATAATTACATTTTTTTTTAAATCAGCTTGAGGACACTTAATCATTTCCCCTTTTCTAGCATGAATTCTCCCATTTATAATTTTACTTCAAAAATTAGGAGTTGACTTTTGTTTCTTAATTGATTGGGAATTTTAACCTTTGAGACCAATTCTTGAACTTAATTTGTCATTGTCTCATGACATTTTAGAACTTCTTGCAAATATATCCCCCACTGACTCAATATACAAACTTTGACATTCTTAAATTCACAGTGACCGTGAAACGTGAATCTTTGTTTTAGGTCATAATACCATTATAAAATATATGTAAGGATGTAGGGAAGAATTATTTTACATTTAGGAATATAAAACTATATTTTAAAGTAGAAATATTCTTTTTTTAAGATTTATTTATTTATTTACTTGAGAGGGAGAGAGATTGAGAGCATGAATGGGAAGGACAGAGGGAGAGGGAGAGAGAATCCCAAGCAGTCTCTGTGCTCAGTGCGGAGCCCAATGTGGGGTTCGATATCACAACCTGAGCTGAAACCAAGGGTCAGGCACTTAACTGACTGTGCCACCCAGGTGCCCCTTAAGTAGGAATATTCTTAAAGAATTATACAGTAGCTCATCATTCTGGTTTCTATTTAAATCAAATTTGAAAGAAAAATTGTCATTTCTTTTAGATTTATATTTTGCTAATTTTTCATTGGGACAGGCTTTCATTTAAATAAGATGGAAAAAAACAATGGTCAATATGAGGAACAAAGACTGGTGGAAGAGTAAACAAAAAGGCAATTGAGGAAATAATTTAGGAAATTATGGTAAGAAAGGAGTTATTTAAGTACAATATAAAAGGGAAAGAGTCAGTAGTAGGCATTCAGATTCAACAAATAGTTTTGAACCTCTATGGGCTTGCCTATGTACTGGGCTCTGAACAAAAAGAAAAAGCCTTCTGGGGGCGCCTGGGTGGCTCAGTTGGTTAAGCGACTGCCTTCGGCTCAGGTCATGATCCTGGAGTCCCGGGATCGAGTCCCGCATTGGGCTACCTGCTCGGCAGGGAGTCTGCTTCTCCCTCTCCTGCTCCCCCCTCTTGTGCTCTCTCTCTCAAATAAATAAATAAAATCTTTAAAAAAAAAAAAAAGAAAAAGCCTTCTGCTTTCAAGGAACTTATATTGTAGTTGTCATATATCAGTTAAGATTAGGTTGTCTGCATTAAAAAAATATTTAATAAGATTTTAAAAATCACATTGTTTTTCTCTAACACAAAATAAAACCGAATTTAACCCAGTACTGGTTAAATTCCTACCTCCAGGCAATTTACTGTTCAGAAGAGCTGCTATGGCACCAGCCTTCACATCGATTACCAGACAGCAAGAAGGGGGAAGAGGAAAAAAGCAAAGGGAAATATTATCCCTTAAGGAACTAACCATACTAGAGTCTCTTCCCCAAACTTCTAACTTTTAACTCATTAGTCAGGACGTAGTCATGTTGATGATGTGGGAAACAAAGGCAAAAGAAACAAATTAAATGTCCTTACTATTTACAGCCCATTGACAAGTCCCTGAAACAGGTAGAGTGACCTTCCTCTGGGAGCTCAGTTGCCTCAATGTTAATACTTTGCTAAGGGCAAAAGGCAATCTTAGCTTAACATTATCCCAACTCCCCAGGATCCTTTAAGTCTATTTTAACATATAAAAATTCCTTTG